GGCGGACTGGGGCTGGACAGGGCTGGGTGGGTATGGGTGGGGTGTGTGGGGATGTGTACAGCGAGAAGAATCGGCGGAGCGCAGTGGGTGGGACGCGGAGCGCGTGGAAAGGGAGTGGCGAGGGGGCGGGGCGCCGCGAAGGCCGCGCTGGCGCCATCTGGCGCCGCTGTCAACCGAGGCGCGGCCGACGCACGGCCTGCTCCGGCGGCGTCCTGCGGCAGCGACGCGATTCCGTATTCCGAGGCCGCGCGCTTCCAACGGCCGGAGGGGGCGGCGGCTGTGGCGGTGGCGCCGCGGCGGCAATAACGATGAAACGACAGAGAACGGGTGGTGCTGTCGAAATGCAACGGAGAAAATGTTCCAGCGGAGAAGTACAGCTGGAGAAATGTAGATTACGAAAGGGAAGGCTTTGATCGGGGGATTAATTAAAAGAAGGAGGGGAAAAAAGAGTTTCCAGAATATTACGGTACTAATAATTGATTGATTGCTAGTAATTCCGGGCGCGCTAACTACTAGCGTCATTAGTTCCGGAAGTGTAGTTACTTCTCGCCTGTACTGTACGGCAAGAGTCGACCCCGACCTACCGTCGGCTAATGGGGATTTCCCCAACCAGATATCTCCCACCAACGGGGCATCGCACCAGCTGGGACAAGATTTAACCTCAAGATCGGTCTCTCAGCATGTGTGGTAGCGTAGTGCATGTTAGTATAAGTATGAGCGAGGATAGGACAAGGAAGAGGTAGGAAAGATCACGCACTGTCTGTGGCCCGTTTGTAAGTGTACTACTCCGGCATTCGCCTGGTGGTGATAGGAGAAACCGCGGAAAACTACCGATCAGAGCAGCCGGCCGCGATATCAGCGGGGCTCCAGACAGCGACTGACTTCGACCCAGCTCTCAAAAATTCTGCCATCGCCAGAACTCGAACCTAGCACTTTCCGGTCAAATGGACTGCATTGATATCAGGGTACTAATAACAGTAATACAGCCGTATACATAAATGGACGCCAAGAAGACGATGGCACTGAGGCGTACGATGAGTGACGAACGGCTGGATGATGCAGCGGTATTAAATGTGAGAGAAATTGCGAGAGAGTGAAGGTTTATGTGGTACTAGACAAGAAAGAGAGAGGCGAACGTTTATATTAATAAATTAGACATGAAGTGGGGCAAAAAACGACTACAGATTGGAGGATATTTTTCTGTACAAGACCATAAAACATGGAATAGTCACGATAAGCACGATTCAGCAGCACGTACAAAACAACATGCATCTGTCTTCTACACACTGGTCATACGAATGTAACATGTACTTTGATATAGCGTCATCCAACGCGTAAACGTGTAATGCTGCGCGTTTATAGAAAACCCCTACGTCAGACAGACCAATCACCACCTCGACAGTACATCGACCAGTAAGTCAGTCCGACACCTGGTCCTTCAGACCGGAGCAAATCACGACATTACCCCGCAATTTGCAATCCGTATTTTAGCCCAAGCCATTATACGTGGGGTGAGATAGGATGGTAAAAAATACGCTGACTTAGAAATGAGAACACAAAGAAGTGTTGAAACCATTGGAATGTAACATTTATAGTTCAATCTACTTGATGTACGTTTAACACTCAATGAGCTTTTTTCTTTCTTTTTTTAAAATTTGAAATCTAAAACAATACACTAGTCTATTTTGAAAATGTGAAACACTGAACAGTTGATTTATGTTCTGGCCTTGAAAAATCTAATATTACAATAAAAATGGGAAAATGCTAGTAAAAATAGCTCAATCTATTTGACTATTTTTTGTTATTGTGCGCAAAGTTCTATATATTTACGCACATTAATTTTATGAACTTAACTTTATGATCACAACTCAGCTAAAAATGTCTGCATAAAACATTGATTGCACGCAAGAGGAGGGCAAGAGGAGAGCGATAGAAGGGCGAGATGAGGGCGAGAGCAGGGCGAGAGCAGGGCGAGAGCAGGGCGAGAGCATGGCGAGAGCAGGGTGAGAGGAAAGCGAGAGAAGGGCGAGAAAAGGGCGAGAGGAGGGCGAGAGGAGGGCGAGAGGTGGGCGAGAGGAGGGCGAGAGGAGGGCGAGAGGGGGCGAGAGGAGGGCGAGAGGAGGGCGAGAGGTGGGCGAGAGGTGGGCGAGAGCAGGGCGAGAGCAGGGCGAGAGCAGGGCGAGAGGAGGGCGAGAGAGGGGCGAGAGGAGGACGAGAGGAGGGCGAGAGGTGGGCGAGAGGAGGACGACAGGAGGGCGACAGGAGGGCGAGAGTCGCCACGGCACGCATAGACAAACGACGGAACGAAAGTTCTACAGCTGACCCAACGTTGGCTGTAACGCCACGCTCTGTGATGGCCAGTGGCTCTGGATCCAGGGAAATGCCTCTGACGCGATGTTTTGCGACCAGCATTCTGTGGCCTTTCTTATGGTGCGGTAATTGCCGGTTGCAAGACAAAGCGGCAGCAACACAATGTTCGACGCGAAAGCGTCTGGCCAGTCTTTGACAATGCAGTGAAAGAGTTACCTGGCTTATAAAATATTCAATTCTTTGCTATAGACGCAGCAAAAAGGAAAAAAAATGTATGTACGTAAGTAAGTAAGTACGTACAATGCATGCAGATAACGTTAATTATTTTATACTTGCATTGTCGGCAGTAACATTTCTGCCTTCTTCACCTTCTTCCTTTTTAACAATAAAATGCAGACGAAGGCTATATGAAAAAGGTAAAGACATCGACAATGCTGCTATTTACATAACTGCAGATCTAAAAAATGTTACTGGTCTTAGGGTTTATTTTTAATAGCTTTCAGCCAATCTGAACTAATAACACTTGCCGGGAAGTCGTAATTTTTAATTGTTGTGAATGCAATAACCATAGCAGGAAAATGTTTCTGATAGCCACGAGTCAATGACTCGGTTTTACAACATATTGCGCAGCGGACGGTCGCTTGAAGCCTCAAGTGCCGCCGATACGCTGCGACCACTCCCAGTTCTCTAATGTGATGGATGTGGTAATGTCAGAGCGTCGCTGCCCGTAAAGGAAGCCGGACCGCCGCATAAATGTCAGATTAAAACGCATTGCGCTCCTCCGTTGGAAACACGATAGTATTACATCATAACCTTCTATGCAATTCTCTCCTCTCGTGGCCGGTATTCCGCCAACCTGCAATTCGAAACTATTAGTTTCTCTGACACTGCTTTAATAGCCAATTGTTTCCTAACTTATGATTTCATTCCCCTCGTATTTGTATAAAAAGGCATTTTCGTCGTTACAGAAAATCAGGCAAGACCCTCGCAGCTCTCTATCGATACAACGTTGAAAGATAGTTTCTCATAGAAGACTAATCGCGAAATCGGAAATTAGTTACAGTTATAGTTACACTTTAACAAGAAGAAATCGCGGCACTATTTTACATACCAACAGTTGTTAAAGTTGGGGTTTTCAACATTGCATCTTAGAAAAAAGATTACACACAAAGTTTAATCTATTCTGCAACATATAGTTATACAAATGTTGGCGAAAATGGAGTCAATGAATTTTCTGACAGGTTGATGCACTCCAAATGAATTAACCATTGTAGGTTCACGTTCATGAAATAGATATGTAAATCACGGGCTTTGCTTGGGAGTGAATTAAGACATTAAAACATAGTTTGCCGACGTTTCAGAATATTTTTATTCCACCCTCAAGGCAAGTGGTAAAACATAACAATATAAGAACAACACTATAGATATACATGGGTACATCAATAGTGTTGTTGTTCATTCAATACAGTTCCCACTAATTTAATTCTGTAACCACTGTAGAGCTATATTTTTAAAAGTTAAATAGCTGCATCACGCAAGCAGAATTTTAATAAATATTTAAAATTACACGGATCTGAAATCAGGGCTTCATTATGTTAATCCAAGCTAGTCTATCAGTGCTCTCGACATAGGTATCCACACTTTATTCCTTTCAAAAGAACTAACTCATGACTAAAGGATTCCAACTTTGAATGACTCATGAATATCTCTGGGGACGTGAGTGTGTGTGTGTGTGTGTGTGCTTGTACGAGTGCATGTGTTCGTACGTGTATGAGTGCGTGTGTGCGGGAGAAGAGTCGAAATAACTACGTCACGACACACGGGGCGGCAGAGAAAAAGAAATGCAAAGCAGTGTTTTTGTGAAGGCCTCGTCAACTGCATACCGATCTTGTCTGCTGCACAGGTCAAATACCCGTAACCAACGTGTCAGGCACGCGCTCTTTGAAGAGGGTGCCGACCGCTAGACGAAAGTATCCCACGCAGCACAGGAGTATGTCAAAGCTACCATATATCCCAAGTGCAACGGTGAGATAATCGAACTCAAAATAAGCTGTGAAGTGGAGAAGTAAAATATTTGTTTCGTTTCTTTTCTTTTCGGTGCCTCTTCGTTCTTCTTACAAAGTATGACTACGAATAATGAAAAAACGCAGAGAAGGGAGATTTCAAAAACCATTAACAAAGGTTTTTCCAGCGTTCGTAAATATGGGGGAAGCCACAAATACAACTTGAACTACGCTGGCCAGGAACGTGTTCCGGTTATTTTTAAACTAGCCAAAATATATCGAGTTAATTATTAATATGTGTATTATGTGGTACAAAAGAGTCATCAAAATTTGCAGATTTCTACCAATGTTATGTCATAAGTAAAGACTTTGCAAATTCCGTCGAATATTAAGTTAGTGTATGTTAGTAAATTAAGTAGTTGTTCCACCGATACTATTTGGTAAACAAGGATGCTTTCAGCTCATAATATACTTTATGCACCCAGTTAGATAAACTAACGTATCTTACCACGCAACTGAGACAATGGCACGAAGTTCTTTCATCGTTTCAGTTTTCGACATTTTAAAACACTAGTCTTGATGGGGATACAAGTATTATACGAGGCAATGCGCTATCACAAATATCATTCCGGTAAAAGTCAGATTGTTTCATCGCTTGTTATTTAATGGGATGTGCGCAGGCGGTTTTAAAATCAAACGTAATAAAGCACAATCAGTTCATAAACCTGTTAATGAAGGGCTCTAAAACTCGCCTTATCGAAAACAGTGCCTTTGTATATGTATTGCCATTTTTATCAGTCTGGGAACCGTACGTTATAGCCTACCTGGTATAAATTTCATTCCACAAGAGACACCGACATTCCCTTCCGCAATGCAGTGCAATGTCCTTCTCATAAAGAATTCACAGAAAGATACGGGCGAAGACTGTGATTATTTGGTTTCGCCGACAACTACCAGATAAGAAGTGAAGTACTTTTGAAGAAGAATCACTGCGGTCTGGGTCAAGGTATTTCCCCAGTTTTTGTTTCTAAACAAGTATATCTGAATCGGTTTACTTAAAATAGGAATATATTCGAAAAAAACTCGACCACGTGAAGAATGGAAGTGAATGCTGAGATATACAATTAATGAGGCCCAGTTGTTTACGCCCTTAATGTGTAGCAAATAAACATGCGTTTATCACCTGGTATCCCTTGAAAATAAGACCACAACGATCTAACAAAATATTTTCTTGGCAGTATTCTACTGCATTGTAAATGTATTGAAAAAATCGGAATAACAAAAAATTATACAAACGGCTATTTAGAGAAAAATATTATCTTATATTTTATTATACAAATTAATTTGTATATAATAATATTAGCTGCAAGAGACAGTACATTTTTCCTCTTTCACTTTCTTCTCTTTATGAGTCCCATGATACAAGTCACTTTATGTTTGTAATTCACGTCAAAACGGTCGATAAATCGAGGTCAGTGACATTACAGCGAATGTTTCCCTTCTCAAAATTCGCTCTGCCTTTGCAATTCAGATGAGTGTATCGTCTTCCAATCGTTTCTTGAAGAACCCACTTTACAAACAAAGAGTTAACGGCTCTTATCAAATAAAAAGTAGAAATGTCATAACCACGAAGGCAGGCTGTACTTCTGAGAATTGTTACCAAACATTCTGAACAGAATGATGTCTATGAAAAAGTAATGGTTTTAAATTGAGATACGTGAAATCAAATATACCAACTAAATTTGTAAAAATGGGGAAAATATGATGACAGACCAAAATATATACAAGTATGACTATGTGAACTATGAAAGCGACGAAACGTTAATCAAAATACGACAAAACAATAATATTTCGGGTTTTAACGATTAAGACAGACATTTTCTACATCATAATGACTATGCATAAGGCTTTGAAGAAACTACTACGAGAGAACGAGCATTTTTTCCATATTTGCTGGTCAAATAATGTTTCTAACTTCTATTCCATTTTTTAAAGATATGTTTCATGTTTCTTTAACGGGTATCATCTATTTTTTACCAATCCATTTACAGGGAAACCCACGTGATTTGCATCTCTTTGTATGTCGACGGCGGCGACATTCGCACTTCTCATCAAACGGAGTGGCCTCTCCTACACGGCGGGCGGAGTGGTTGTGGTGTTGGTCGCGTGAGACGTGCATGAGTCCCGCGCAGGGGTCACGTGCACGCACGAGGAAAGGCCAGGTGCGCACGCAGCACGGCAGGTGCGCGGAGACTACCGGTGGCCACGCTCACGCGCCACAGACAGAGGATGAAGCTGCTTTGGCACGCGCGCTTCAAGGAGAGCCATTGGCGGACTCTTAGCGTTCGGGCTTCGAAGAAACACGAAACATGTAAAGTGATGCACAATACTGTTCAAAATTGAGAACACTGGAGACAGTTTAAGAAAAATGGTTTTACACAATATCCCATAGAAATCGAAAACGATATTTGTGTTACATAACTGCAGAAGGAGCTTCTATTCGCATGAACTGTTCAGTACAGAAATTTAACGAATTAGTCCTTCGGAAACCTGACATTTCAAAGTGACAAAAATAACACAAATTATGCTCTTAGACAGCGGTAGTCTATGACGAATTAATACGTTGCCGTCTAAATACTTTGCTGAATAGCACTTTCTCAAAATATTAAACCCGCTAAACTACCTACTACTTCAGTTGAACAGCATCTTGTGCAACGAAAGGAAAATTAAAATTGGAAAGAGTAATTTAAATCTTATGAAGTAGGGAAGTGAACTAATCACCCTTTTAAACACCTTTGTGCATCTGCGCTATCGGAACATTTCCGGGGCAATAATGAGAGAAAAAAAAAGATATTTCTGGAGGAGAAATCTGCTATGTTTCAGGCGTTCTATGAAAATCTAGGACCTAAGAACGTAGCATTTGAACGTAATTAAGCTTGCGCTTTTCAACTTTCACTTTTTTGAGTCGGCCGGTTGGCTCCGGTGTGTGCTGCAGAACTGTCAAGCGCACAAAGAAAGAGTTTATCTCTGTTTGTACATTTAATGAAAAAGGACAATGAGAACTTCAGGTCCACCGAAACAATTTGTAGCAAAGTGATATTTCAGCCTGCAGGGTTTCAGGTAAAACATTTCTTGTAAGCAGTGAAATATCGCGAACATTGTAATTTCGAGAAGTGTTAAAGCTCGAGCCACAGTTCTACCACTTAGTTCACCAATATTTAGGGGCAGCATTTTTTATACTACAGTCTAACAGATCTACAAAATTGTTTAAAGAGAGTAATTTTGAAGGGTTTGAAAGCTTCATGTAAACAGATATTACACATTTCAATTTAACATCATGTAAATAACTGAGGTTGTAGATGAGCATCTGCTGCATGCACACGAAATGCGGACACACGAAATGCGTTCTAGGATGACGTGACAAAAGTGAACTATATGAAAATACAAGAGCCATAGGTAGGGACCGATCCAAAGACGCATTCTGGGAGGAGAAATTCAAAATGTTTTCGTCAATTATGTATATTACAGATTTCGTAAAACGTTATAGGCTACACTCTATGCTACGCTACAATTTTATTCGTTTCAATGATAATCCGAAAAATATTTTTGCTTGAAAGTATTAAAATTAACAGTTACTGAAAACTTTTCGAGAGGGGGGGGTCCCTCATTCCCTCCTCACTGTGGGTTCTGTGCCTGCCATAGACTACATTCCATGCTGCGATACAATTTCATTCGTTTTAATGATAATCCGAAACATATTTTGGCTTGAAAGTCTTAAATTTAATAGTTACTGAAACATTTTCGGGGGAGAAGGGATTTTCCCCATGGAACAGCGCCTGCCATAGGACACCAACTTGGCGGACGCGCCGCCTCCTTAACAATCGGCGACTTCAAATCCAAGCCCTCCTGCCTTCGCGCTCTCGAGGCCGACCACCCAGCGGGTCGGCGGAGTGAGCGGAGGCGCATCTGCATCTGGACCGCAGGCGGAGGACGAGGGGTGGGGGTGAGGGTGGGGGACGGCGGGAGAACAGACGACCGAGCAGTTAAGATCCGCCAGATGAACTTACTTTCGCTCTCTCCGCCACTTCTGCCGCCTCGGCTCCCCGCTCCGCAGCTTCCATCCCCGCCTTCACCAAACGCCACACAGCGCTATCTACCATCGCCAACCACCACCGCTAACACCCCCCCCCGCGTGAACTTCAAAGGTTACCAACCCAGTTTTTTTTAATATAAATATTTATAGTATGATTCATTTAATATAACGAATAATTTATACGATTTATTTAGTAGTATTATATCGATGTTAATAAAGCATGAACGCAAAACTATCATGCTATTTATACTATGATTTAATTAACCGTGCACTTGACGAAAATAAACTGTTGAGGTTTTATCCAATCAGGAGCTTAGATGTGACGTCTCTATGGGGACGTTCAAGCTCCCGATTGGATGAAACCGTGAACAGCTGTTTTACGTCAAATGTACGGTTAATTAAATCCTAGTATAATAGCATGATAATTTTGCGCCCACGCTTTATTAACATCGTTTAAATTTTGAGATTTGTAATTGTATTTATGTAATTAATTGATGGTTTTTTTTACGTATTTTTTAAAATGAATACAATAGATCCCAAGTTGATTAAATATTATTTTAATTTTGAGCATCGGAATGTTTTGTCGTTGTTTGCGACGTCGCATCCCTGGCCCCGACCGGCGACGACTCCGCGTCGTCAGCAGCCGCCAGCGTCTGCCCTCGTCACCGCCGCGTCAGCTCCTGCCCCTTCGCGGCATCGCGTTTCGCACGCGGTCGCGCGGCGCGTGGGGCGGCTCCGGCTAGAGAGCAGCGCGGGCTGCCTGCGGGCTCCCACGCGTTTATCCTAGTTCGACACGGCCTGGTTCAACAGGCAGGAGAAACGGTTGACGGAGGAGTGAAGGCGGAGGAGGAGGAGGTGGAGGCGAGGCGGGAAAACGTGCAGGCAATGGAGGTCTCGCCCCAGAAACCGAGAGGAGAAGACTGGGAGAGAAAGAGGCAGTCTGGCACCTTGGTCTGCCTCGTGCCTTTCATTCCTTGCATTGTTTTTGGTTTATCAGTTGAAATACGTTATTTACACAGTTCGATGTCTGGGAGGTGCGAATACATGTGGACATATGACTACTTCAATTTGAATTTTCTCTTCATTATTTTTTTAATACGAAATACGATATATTTTTCAACGTTTGTGAAAATTGGAAAATTTTCTCTGATAACAACTTGAATGATTCTTTATATAAATAACAGCATGTTATTTTACTAATTAGACGCATCTTAATGGGAGAAAATCTAATTATTTATCTACTTCTTGATAAAATCAAATTTCTTGTATACGTAGGTTACACATTGTAAATAAATAGTGGTTTAAGTTATTAGACTGAGTAAAGGTTAAAAATACGACTTTTCTACTTTCCACACATGGCGTCCAGTTATGACTATGAAATTAAGACTTCCCAAACTATATTGTGCTATTTACATCAAAGCTACTCTTCGGATATGTTTTTCATCAAATTTCAAAGTGAAATCCAATTTGATGAAGACTGAGACTAAACAATTTAGACGCAACTTTTCATTTCTTATAATAGATAGTATCCATCTAGCGTAACTAATACTCGGCATCTTACGAAGATTGAAAAGACTTTAGCATTTTCAAGCAAGTTAAATAAACCATTCAATCTCTTTTCGTCTTTTCTTTAGACGCACTCCAGAGCGGCCAAGACCTCTCTGGAGAAGAGAATCCTTTAAGCCTCAAGCACGTAGCAGACCACGACACCGGAAAACGAAGAGCTGCGAAACAAAAACTGTGTTGAGACAGCGCAGGAAGCATATTCCGTTGGGAAATACACTTTCTTCAGCTTACTGACCGCGGGGCTCCGCGAAAGCCAACGCGATAGGGGGAGGAGGAGAGGGGAGAGGGGAGAGGGGGAAGCGGGGTCAAACTCTTCTCTCCTTTCCCCTGCCTCCAAAAAAAACCCAACAAACACGCAGCCCCAAGAGGTTTCACGAGATAAAACGCCGTGACTTTAGGATATTCACAATGGCACTGTTGGATGCTGCATATTCCAGACTTTCATTTCTTATACATTAAAATAGACTCTTCTGTAGAAGCTAGGATGCGCATCTTAGATAAGAATGTGCAATTTCGTAATATCTTTCCTTCTTTTTTCGGATGAGGAATGAAGAATGTGGAGAAGATTTGAAAAGAAGATTTACACTTCGTCTCAAAACGTGTAATAAGATTATTTCAGCAAATTATCGTATTAAAATCGTATTTGAATTTGAAGAAAATCACTTTCGCTGGTGGCATCTTGAAGAACTCACAAAACATATTTTTCACTTGATCACTTTATTTCCTCATTGGAAAATTATTATTTATTGTTGAAATCACGCTGTTTCGTTGTCTTCTATCTACATTATATTTAGATATCACTTAAAAACATAAAATTGTTAACAGTGGGTACAAGGCCTCTCACAAATTGATTAAAATATTATCGTTTATTTTGTTTTGTTTAACGATTCGTTACAGGAATAAACGTTCTGAATAATAAATTTACTTTTTGGATGTAATGCTCCTACATTTGTGCATTACTTTAAAAATTATCGTAGCATGATGGCATATTATATGTTTATTCTAGATGCAAATTTCATTGTTGTTTTATTATCTCCCTGAGTGTGATCACAAAATGATACAGATGCGATGGTATGTTTCTTTATTTATTTGGGAAAGATAACATAATATAATTCCGTATTTTCGAAATGAATGCTTTCCCAATCAACAGGAATAAATAATGATCTCTATTACATTCATTCTAATTACACCTTCACCATACACCATATTCCAACAGAATAAATAAACACAGATGAACAAAAACCGGAACAATAAATCAAACAAGACGAATAATTCAAAAGGCATCCAACAGATGCGGCTGAATTTCCCTTTCTCCAAACCCAACTTGGCGGCCTGGTGAGAAGGAGAGTGAGAGAAAGCTTCGTTTGTTATGAATGAAACCTAATCTCGGACACAGGAGACCGTTCGAAGCAAATACGTGGCGACAGCAAGCGTGGAACATCACATATTATATTTTCACGAAGGAACTGCAGGAATGTTTCGTTCACGGTGGAGGCACAGCGCGGCGCAGCGGTGAAACACAAAAAGAAAAAGAAAAAAAGAAGAAAAAAAAGGACTACCATACATTTTTAGGCGCGCGTGAAATGCTACGGGCGTCAGCAGGCGGCGCGAAGGCTCTGACAGTGCTGATGGTGAACTTCTGGGCCTGCTACCGTGAGTAATTCGTTCGGTAATTTAAATGGAATTCCGAGCTGGCTCGCTCGGTTATGCAACGTCCGGTAAATCTCTGTAAACCAACGTCAGATTTTTGTGGTCGGTCATCTGAAAATAAATGCACATAATGCAACAGCCACCCAGCAAAATACCAGGTGCGCGGCGAAGTGATATAACTAACTACACACTTTCTTGGGTTGGATGATTGCATTCGCAAGTTCTAGAAGATTCATGGTGAACGTCAGTTTTTACAATTTCTGATGCGTTAGACAATGCAAGAAGAAACATATTTTATCATAGAGAAATATACGTCGCAAATTATGTGTTCGAGAATTTTTTCTCAGATCGAAGTCCGATACAGACAATGGGCTCGATATGCATTGAAGTACTGATCGATGCTGCACTGAAGGAAAATTTCAAAACTGCATCTGTAAGTTACCTTCTACCTTCCGACATTCTCGAAAAATAAACACACAATTAAACCAAAAAATGGCCATTATATTATTTTCTGAGTTGGATCAATTTTAACCACGAAATTATTCAGAGAAAAACTAGCGTTTTGTAACTTTCGTTTATCCATATACAGAGATAACTAACAAGGAAAAGGAAGTTTGCAAACATCCTGTGTAGTGGGGGGAATCCTATTTCCCTCTGAGCAAATGAGTTTCACATTTTATTTATTATATTCAATATTTGAATGAATACAGCATGATATTTTTAAAATAAAGAGAACATTCTAGCAGACGTATTTATAAACGAAATAACAATATCAAAAACATTCATATGGTAGAAACCTGTTTTTAAAACTCATGAGTATTAGTAAAATATTAAAATACTGAGTGTATTTCTCTCAAAAGTCATTGCTCCCGTTAAATGAAGATATTCATTTCCATTACCTTCAATTAAAGTAGTTTATGACTTTCTAGAATTACTACAAACAGGCGGCATACAACCGTTCTAAAACACGGAGGCTCCATTCGGATTCGACTAACACAGCGGTGCGACGTGAGGTGGAGATACATTCAGGGCCGCAATAAATGTATTTATACAAAGCGGTGCATCCGAGCGGAAATAACCCACAAACAAAAGCGCAGCGGAAAATATCTCTGCCATAAAACCGACGCGGCTCATCCGAGACCGGGGGCCGAAGCGAGCTCGCCCACCAAAACGCGGCCCTCGGCACCAGGGGCGCCCGCGCGGCACCAATGGCATTGCAACAACAAGAGCGACTTCAACATCACACACTTTCACATATTACTGGTAATTGCTCGTAATATTCTTCTACTGCACCATCTATCCACTCATTGCACTAAATAACTATTGCACAAGATGTTCCACTTTAGTCATTACTGGAAAAACCCAAAAGACAAAACCCGAAACAATGAGGAAACTAATATTATTTTCAAAAAAGTGAGATATCTAATACTGAGAAATACCTTGCATTAACAATGATACCAATATCGTCAAGAATGTAATGATAGAAAGGAGTAAAAAAATATTTTAAACTTAGGCAAATTTATGAAATTTGTAAGGTTTTACTGAAATGCGTGCACAGTTTTATAATGACACATTGCTCTATTCGAGCAAAACATTTAGTGCGATTTTGGAGGAAATTTTGAAAACGTCCTAGAAGCTCCACATAAAACACGGCTGCCCAAATTCAAGAACTGGGTAGAAGTCATGGACTGTCTGCAGTGGTTCGTGTGCCTGTCGCCTTTTACAACTAGACTAGAGCCTATCGCGCCCAAGGAATTCCCCTTCGTTCCTCTCGATGACCTAACAAAAGCAGGCTACACCGAAGCGACTCACAGGCCACAGCGGGGCTAGACTACAAAATTTAAGCAGCCG